AACCTAAATCCACTACTTGCTGGTCATGTGAGCTATAGACAAGTTACTTAACTTCTCTATGCAAAACGGAGACAAAAAATAAGTATAGGCTGGGTGCTGGTGGCTTAAGTTACTTAACTTCTCTATGCAAAACGGAGACAAAAAATAAGTATAGGCTGGGTGCTGGTGGCTTATGTTTGTAATCCTCCCTACGCAAGAGGCTGAGATCTGAGGATCACATCCAACACCAGACTGCATAGGAAAGTCTGTGAGACATTTCTTTCTGATTAACCAGCAAAAAGCTGGATATGGGATATAGCTTAACGTGTCAAACACTCCCCATGTTGTCAGGACCAAAGGGAACAGAATTTGCAAAAGGCTCCGTGAAAAGGAAGCGTCCAACAAATAATAACTATCTGATCTCTTTTTGCTTTACACCCACTATTCCTCTCAGAATGAATACCCTTCTCCCCAAAAGTGATTAGGACTGGTTCTCTACCAACAAATGAATGGTTCATAGAGCAAACAAATGTTTTCTCATCATGAGCCCAGGAGTGAGGAGCAGGGGGTTCTGGGATACTATCTGGCATGCTATCTGGCTCTGGGTAGCAAACAGGCCAAATCTCAAGAGCGTCCAGCTGGGTTTTCAAGGCCCAAATGACTAGCAAAGAGCTACTCAACAGTTTGCTATCATCTGTTATTTAATCAAAACACAGGTGACTTGAGTAGCGTCAGGGCCCCCCCCCCTTAAACCATTCCCACCATCTCCCAGGACTCTTCCAAGAGTGAATTCTCTGCTGAAATCAATTCACCATCGCATACACTTCTAAGCCCAACTTGAGCCATGTCAACAATAACAAAAACAAAAACCCTTTAAGATTCCATGGCTTCTCCTTCTGTTTTGGGAAGAAGGAACACAATCAACCCTGAGTCAGGCTTTTAGAAAATTCAATTAGAGAAGAGCAAGAGACCAAGGCCAGGCACTGGTGATTCATGCTGATAATCCTAACTACTCAGGAGGTTGAAATCTGAGGATTGTGGCTAGAAGCCAGCCCAGGCAAGAAAGTCCATGAGAATCTTACCTCCAATTAATGACCCAAAAATCTAGAAGTGGAACTATAAACAGTAGAACACTAGCCTTGAACAACAACAACAGTAACAACAACAACAACAAAAAAGCTCAGGGACAGTGCCCAGTCCCTGACTTCAAACTCCTGGACAGGCACATGAATAACAAAACAAATTTGATAAAAGGAAAGAGTGGTAGTGAAGGTTTAATTGTAAGCAACTTGCCAAATGCTCCCCATCCAGGCAATAGGAATCAAGGTCTGATAAGGCCCACAGTGTTTATTGACAATGAATCTGAAGATTAAGGAGACAGAAAAGTCATCGATCATAGGTGACTACTCAGAAATCTGCTCAATGCTTAAATCTATGCAATCAGAGGGTCGGCAGCTTCTACAGGCTTTAAGGATTAAAACGTAGGTCTCCCTGAACTTCTTGATTTTGCAAGCGTAGACAATAGGATTCATCATGGAGTTGGTGTGAGATAGCAGGATGCCCAGGAATATCACAAACTCTGGTACTTCAACTTCAAAATAGAGAACACAGTTGATGATAGACATAGGTAACCAGCACAAAGCAAACAAGAAGAGAACCAGAAACAGGGATTTGGCTGTCTTGAACTCTCGCCCGTAAAATGAACCTGGCTCTTTGAAACCAGACAGGTTCTGACTGAGTTTGTTCCGAATGATATAGAAGATGTCCAGATAGATGGCGCACATGACCAACAGGGGAATGAAGATCCAGGTGAAGAAGCTGAAGAATACCATATAGTCCATGCTCATGACGGAGGGGAAAGTGCATTTAATGGTGGTGACATTTTGGAGGTCACTTGAGGTCCTTTTCACATGCCAACCAAACATAGGGGTCAGTCCTACCAGGAAAGATATCAGCCAACAAAGGCCCAGGGCAAGCCATATTCTTCTTTGAGTTGTGACCCTTCTGTATCTGTTTGAATACAAAAGAGCCAAGTGAGTTCACAGCAGGAAATACTACGTCCAGGAGCTGATGCTGGTGGGAAAAAAAAAAAAAGAGTCGAAGAACCAGTGTAATCCTAGCTCACGCCTGTAATCCTAGCTACTCAGGAGGCTGAGATCTGAGGATCACAGTTCAAAGCCAGCCACCAGAAAACCGGAAATGATGCTGTACCTCAAGTGGTAGAGTGCTTGCCTTGAGCTGAAGAGCTGAGGGATAGTGCTCAAGCCCAGAGTTCAAGCCCCATGACTGACAAAAAAAAAAAAAAAGAGTAGAAGAAAATAACAGAGCATACTCTCCAAATTTCTGCTAAGAAAGGAGAGCATCAAGAGTCTACAGTGATTGTGTCTGAATGCTGCTAGATATTAAGATGAACAGATAAAGATGAGAGAAAAATCCAGAAACTTCTCTGGGAGACACAGAATGGATCCTGAATGTGTGACCAAGAGTTAGCTGCATGGGGCTAGGAAGGTGGCTCAGTGGGAGAGTGCTTGTCTAGCATGCATGAAGCCCTGGGTTCAACTCAACACCACATAAACAGAAAAGGCCAGAAGTGGCGCTCTCAAGTGGTAGAGTGCTAGCCTTGAGCACAGAGAGGCTCAGGGACAGTGCCTAGGCCCTGAGTTCAAGCCCCAGGGCTGGCAAAAAAAAAAAAAGAGTTAGATACATGTTCTCTACTGGGACTCCATTTCCAGTTCAAGAATTCCTCAGTTCCTAAATTAAAGCATTAAACTAACTCTCCTAGGATCATTTACATGGGGAGACACACATTCCTAAAGCACGATAGCCTGTTCTACTCTGCTTTCTCTGCCCCTGGTGTGAGTCTCAGGAATTACACCCCTTCGCCCTTACCTCACCTGTACCTGAGCCTGCCCTTTTTGTCCAATGGGCATCGATACTTGGCACCTGAGATAATAAATCATTGAGGTTGGAAGAGCCCTTAAATGACTCTCCCAGTGAAAGCCACCATTTCCCCTTGAAGAAGACCCTTCTTGTCAGCAGCCAACACAAATGGCAAAAGTAGGGAAATAATTGGAAAGTACTATATTACTCAGAAAATTTTATTTCACTAAAGATATTCTATTGATAATCAGCTGGAGATATTTTAATGATGATCTCCATATTACTGATGACAATGAAAAACAATAATGTAAATACTCAGGGGCCAGTGGCTCATGCCTGTAATCCTAGCTACTCAGGAGGCAGATATATGCTGATTATGGTTCAAAGCCAGTCCAGAAAGGAAAGTCTGTGAGACTTTTTTTTTTTTTGATTGTGGGGCTTGAACTCTGGGCCTGGGCGCTGTCCCTCAGCTCTTCAGCTCAAGGCGAGCACTCTACCACTTGAGCCACAGCACCACTTCTGGATTTTTCTGCTTATGTGGTGCTGAGGAATCAAACCCAGGGTCTCATGCATGCAAGGCAAGCGCTCTACCACTGAGCCACCTTCCCAGCCCCAAACTCTTATCTCCAATTAACCACCAAAAAAATCTGGAAATGGAGCTGTGGCTCAAGTGATAGAGTACTAGCCTTGAACAAAAAAGCTTAGGAGCAGTGCCCAGGACTAGCACGCGTGCATGTGCGCACACACGTTGCAAATATTAACAATTATAGCAACTAATTTTTATATTGCAGGAATTTTTCTAAGAACATTGCATGTGTTAACTCATTGAATCTTGTGAGGAAGGTATAACTATTATGGCCAAGCAGACCAGGTAAATAACACATACAAGCTACAAGTGGTGAAGCTACCATTAAAAGAAAGGATATAAAAGGAAGCTTCTCAGGCCAGGGGCCAGTGGCTACTCAGGAGCTACTGGCTCCTGAGCTACTCAGGAGGCTGAGATCCTGAGGATCGAGTTTCAAAGCCAGCCCGGGCAGGAAAGTCCATGAGAACCTTATCTCCAATAAACCACTCAGAAAACTGGAAATGGTGGTGTGGCTCTAGTGGTAGAGCACTAGCCTTGAGCTGAAGAGCGCAAGGACAGCACCCAAGCCCAGAGTTCAAGGCCCACGACTGACAAAAAGAAGAAAAAAAAGAAAAGATAAAAAAACCTTCTCAAACACTGACACAGATGAGAAAATGGAAGCAAAAAAGGTTAAATAGCTTGCTTAGGGTCATATGACAAGGACGTGAACCCAGACTTTATTGAAAGCTTCTTTTTAGCTCCTTCACTATGCTCTTTACCCAAGTGCCACTTAGGACACTAAGAGATCTGAGTTTCCTCATCATAAAAAAAAAATAAAAAGAAACACTGAGAATTCTTATTCTTTCCAGGTGCAGGTGGCTCACATCTGTAACCCTAGCTACTCAGATATCTGATGAACATTCTCAGCCCTGTCAGAAAAGTGACAAACAGGCCTGGACAGAAAAGTCCATGAGACTCTGATCAAATTAACCAGCAAAAAGTTAGAAGTAAAGATGTGGCTCAAGTGGTAGAATGTCAGCCTTGAGCAAAAAAAGCCAAGAAAGAGCTCAAGGCTGAATTTAAGCCCCAATACCAGAACAACAATTTTTTAAAAAAGAAAAGAAAAGCAAGAACCTCTTCCTCAACATTGGGGCAAGCACAGACCATGGAAGCAAGATTAAAATACTAATAATCTACATTTGCAAAGCAACACTATCATGTTTACCTCTTACTCTTACCTTCCTGCTCCTGAAATATGATCTCTTATCTAGTAGATTTCTATCATTTTTACCCTCTTTAGAACTACGCTCTTGAAGAACTATGCGCTTGAAGAACCCTGCTCCATGGTCAGTTGGAGAAGGGATCAGAGCACTTTTCTGGTTCTCATTTCATTCCTGAGTCTCAGCTCATCATTGCTAAATTGCTCTCAGACTGTGGGGGAAAAGGCATTGAGTTCCCTCTTTGGACTTCAAGGGTCAATTCCGAGTCATTTCTCTCCTGGAATCTGAACTTTGTTAACCCCTTTCCCTGGCACCTCTATCACTGCCCCCACCCTAGCCCTCTTCAGGTAAGTTACCTGATGGTGAGCTTGACCCGCAAGTAGCGGTCAATGGCAATGGCCAGCAAGGACATGATAGAGGCATGGGTGAAGCTCAGCAGCACGGAGGTCATGAGCAGACAGCTGTAGAAGAACATTTCAATTCCCAGGCTGACCACAATGGCCACAGGTATGACCAGCAGTCCGACTGCAATGTCAGCCAGGGCGAGAGACACAATGAAATAGAAGGTGGTGGTCTGTAGACTGGGGTTCAGCTTGACCACCCAAATGACCAGCACGTTACCCACGGTGGCAAAGAAGCCGATGAAGATCTCCATGGTAATGTAGATCATTCTCAGCCACAAAGGAGCAATGCTACTGGCTACCATACTGTCCCAGAGGAGAGTCCCAGGTGACAGGTGAAGCCAGTAGGATTCGTTGGAGCCAGTGGACCTAGCTCTTGGCAGACATCTTCTCAGAGCAGTGGCAGAAATTCACAGCTGGTTCTCTCTGCCTTGTCTTCGCCGGTGATTTCTTAGAGACCCTTCTCCTTAGAGAGGGGTCCAGCCCAGGGTGATCACCTGCAGCCCTTGTGGGCCACACATTCTGGGCATGTAGGCTGAATCTGAAAATGTTGCTTCTCTTAGTTCCCCCAGACAGATGCAATCAAGGCCTCTGCCTCCCCCTGTCCCCAGAAGGCTTTTCGAGCTCCATCGAGATAAGTCTCCCTCTTTGGGGTGTTTCAGGAAGTGAGATAGGCCAAGAGGAAGAGAGAGCCAGGGACGCTCAGCCAAAAGATGGACAGAATAGAAAAAAGGATGGCCTGAGATGTCCAGCAGAAAGTTCACGATAGCATTAGGTGTCAGCAGCTGAGAGTGTAGGTTTGGGTGGAAGAGGAGCTAGAAACCTGGCTACGTGATATCCTTGTTTTCTGCTTGCCAAACACAGATTCCATGATAAGGAGAAATAGAGGAAGAAGAATTAAGAGTTTGGTAGCAGCCGCCTAGCCTTAGCTGGAACTCAACTCCTACTTAGAGCAGAACAGCACTGAGGATTCCGCTGCAGAAGGAGACACTGTGGAGCCCAGCTAAAACCCAGCCTTTACATCAAAGATCCTTTGGCAGACCACGGGTGCCTCACATCTGTAATCCTAGCTACCCGAAAGGCTGAGATCTGAGGAGCAAGATTCAAAACCAGCCTGGACAGGAAAGTCCATGAGATTCTGATCTCCAATAAACTGCTCAGAAAAAGCCATAAGTGGTGCTGTGGCTCAAGTGGTAGAGCTCTAGACTTGAGCAAAAGAAGCTCAGGGACAGTGCCCTGCGTTCAAGCCCCAAGGACTGGCATGTGCACACACACACACACACACACACACACACACACACACACACACAAGGTTCATTTTAAGACAAGCAAATATTCCCTGCTCAAGGTTTTACAGGCATTCACATACAGTGAGACCAATGCAGGACACTATCTTAGGAAAGGAAGAGAAAGGCACAATGCCTATGTGCATCTGATCATACAAAATAATATTTATGAACATGAGCTCCAGGAAATAAAAACAAGAGTTTTCTTTTTGCTGTTTTTGTTTTCTTTCCTTATTGTCTAGTTCATTTGTCTGCGCATCTTTTGGGAGTGTAAGGGGGGGGAAGCACAGAAATGGAGGGCTGAAGGGTAAACAAATGCAGCAATAGTACTCATTGGACACTGTGTTGAAAATGAACTGTCTAATTTGTGGGTGGGATATGAGGGAAAAACAGAGGGAGAATGAGGGAAGGGGTAAGATTGTCCTAAAGGAAATGTATTCTTTGCTGACTTACATAATTGTAACCTTTCCGTTCTTAGCATTTTCGAATAAAAGTAAGGGGCTGGGGAGGTGGCTCAGTGGTAGAGTGCTTGCCTTGCATGCATGGGGTCCTCAGCACCACATAAACAAAAAAAAGCCGAAGTTGTGCTGTGGCTCTAGTGGTAGAGTGCTAGCCTTGAGCTGAAGAGCTGAGGGACAGTGCCCAGACCCAGAGTTCAGGCCCCACGACTGACAAAATAATAATAATAATAATAATAAAGATGCAGCACCACTTGTACACATCTCATCTGTTTTGTTTAGCTTCCATCACCAACTTCCCACAACCCCAGTAGTTCCACATACTCTCCTACTAGCAAGTGGCCATGTCAGACCTCTTTGAGGAACAGCTGGAAAATAGTATAAACAGACAGGAAGGAAAGATCATTTGTACACTATCTGCCATGCTCCCTCCCCAGATCCGAGCCTCCATCCTACTCCGATGGTCAGCAGCTTCTGAGATTCACCAACACTTGAACGCAATCATACTGGGTTCAGATGCTTCTTGGTGGCACCCACAGTGGTAACCTAAATCAGGCATGTTAGAAAGTCATCCAGGAGAACCACTAAGACCTGTGCCCACAAAGGCGACAAAAGGGCTTAACTGCTTTACCTTAAGCACAAATCTATGTATGATCCAAACCCAAATCTGGCAGTAACAACTGCTGTGATTCCACTTCTGGCTTTCTGCTGGTTAACTGGAGATAAGAGTCTCAGGGATTTTCCTGTCCCTGCTGGATCGGAACTGAGATCCCTCAGATCTCAGCGTCTTAAGTAGCTAAGATTACAGGCATGAGGCACTGGTGTCCAGCAAGCCAACACTTTTTAATGGGGTAGTGAAAAATGCTTGAACATCTGGCTCTGCTGTACCCCAAGTTGGTCGAGTCCAAGGAATCTCATGCTCATTGGCCCTACACCTGTCATGAGTCCCTGAGCAAGTACCTCAGAGAGTAAGGGGCACTCCTCCTTGATTGCATTCCCTTTGTTCCAGCATTTTCCGATGGTAGCTATGCTGGCATCCCTGTACTGAAGAATATGGAAACTTTGCCAGCCTCGATGTAGCCTTTCTTGAAAAAACTGCTCTCTTTATCTTTCCTACAGAGGAGGAAATTACTGAGAGTACTTTTTTTGGCCAGTACTGGGTTTGAGCTCAGGGAATGGTGCTGCCCTTAATCTTTTTGAGCTTGAAGGGAGTGGTCTGCCACTTGAGTCATAGCTCTGGTTCCAGCTTTTTTAACTTTGGGGGTTATGTGGGGTTAAGGATCTCACAGACTTTCCTGTCTGAGTTGGCTTTGAACAGCACTTCTCAGATCTCAGCCTCCTGAGTAGCTAGGCTGTGAGAGTAATTTCTACCACACTGCAAAAAAAAAAAAGCCTTTTTTATCAAAACACAATTTGAATCTTGCTTAATTACTATTAGAAATTCCTCACACAGGTGAGGTTCATACCTATACTCCTAGCTACTCAAAAGGTTGAGATCTGAGACTCTTATCTCCAATTAACTACCAAAAAGCCAGAAGTATAGCCTGGGAATGTGGCCTAGTAGTAGAGTGTTTGCTTGCATGCATGAAGCCCTGGGTTTGATTCCTCAGTACCACAAAAACAGAAAAAGCTGGAAGTGGCGCTGTGGCTCAAGTGGTAGAGTGCTAGACTTGAACAAAAGCAGCTCAGGGATAGTGCTCAGGCCCTGAGTTCAAGCAAAAAAGCCAGAAGTGAAACTGTGGTTCACATAGTAGAGAGCCACCCTTGAGCAGGAAAAGCTAAAGGAACTACTCCCAGACCCCGAATTCAAACCCCAGCACTAGCACCAAAAGAAAAAGGGGGGGTAATTCCATTTTTCCCCTAGACACCCAGTACCACCAAATAGTGAAAGAAAGACCTCTCTGGATAGAGATAAATCAAGCTGCTAGGAGGTGATAATGATTGCAGGTAAAGGGCACTTTGTGGAAGAGTTTGACATCCACATACCTTCTTAACAGTCCAACCTAGGGAGCCACATATAGATCAAGTGGCATGGTGTCAGGGAAAAGAACAGGCTTTTCTCTCTGTTTAAGGAAAGGCAAGGGGAAACTCCTATATGGAGAAAGAAAAAAACGGTAGCCTGTGAGTAGCTTTGGTCCAAAAGCTGACGGTAGGAAGGCTGGGAACAATGGGTCCCACCTACCAGAAGTAGCTTTGCATCCTTAGGTATATGTGCATTCAGTTTCCTTTTCCTGCCATTCTCCTGTACAACTTGGGTGGGTTGCCACTCTTTTATCTTAGCTAAATTAAAGACACCAAAGAGCTGGGAAAGTGGCTTAGTGGTAGAGCGCTTGCCTTACATGCATGAGACCCTGGGCTCCATTCCTCAGCACAACATAAGCAGAAAAAGCCAGAAGTGGCGCTGTGGCTCAAGTGATAAAGCGCTAGTCTTGAGCTGATGAGCTGAGGGACAGTGCCCAGGCCCAGAGTTCAGGCCCTACAACCAACCAAACACAACAACAACAAAACAATTTATTTTCCGGGCGCCGGTGGCTCACACCTATAATCCTAGCTACTCAGGAGGCTGAGATCTGAGGATGATGGTTCAAAGCCAGCCCAGGAAGGAAAGTCA